GTGACCCACCCAGGGGTCCTGACCTCCAGGTTGAGAAACGCTGTTCTATTGCATTTGTAAGGAGACGTATCGCTGTCTGAAGCTGTTTAGGCCTTTGAATATTATTACAGAATACTGAATTCAAATCTAGAAGCGTGTTGGTGGCTGAGATTTCTTCTTTAACGCATTTAGGATTGCAGCCTTGGTTTTCACGGAAGGTGCCTTGACCTTGTTGAGAGCAGATTGGAATTCTACAAATGAACCATCAGCAAGAATTAAATAACCAATAAAAGTCCAAATCTTCACTTTTCTGGGGACTAACTAATAAATGTCTTTGAAACGGGGGTAGAAGTCTTGACTAAACTGAAGCTTCTGCTTACTTCACCTTATTTTGTGTTTTTCCTTGTGTTCATCTGTCTCTTGGGAATATAGCGCCAATTCTGAACATGCTAAGTGTTCTTTTCCTGACTCCTGCAATCTTCCAGAACAAATGGGAAGCAATGGAGATGGGCTGGGTGGGGTGGGGTGTTCTTAAAGGGAAAGGACTAACTGTGGATCCCTCCCATAATAACTCTACACAAACTGACTAAGCCCTTCTAACTAAAGGAGATTTAAATTGGGGAAATTTCAGAGGTCTCTGTGCAGTCTTTGCTCAAACAGAAGGTGTTCACGGGGCCACAGCTAATTATTCTGAGAATAGGAGGATATCTTTTTGGATTGGCAGAAGATTCTGAGGGATGCAAGATTAAAAAAAGACTTTTCCAAGCTGTGAATATTACTTCGGATAGGAGATATGATATATACCAAAGTGGACGAAGGTCTTCCTCTTCAAACTTCTCAATTAGGAAAAATGTATTTGTTTGAGTTCACTATAGTTTATGAAGAAGAAGAGGAAGACAATGGCAGTGGCAAAGGTTCCCCCTTGACACTAAGTCTAGTCGAGTCCAACTCTGAGTGGTTCTGCTCATCTCCATTTCTAAGCTGAAGAGCCAACGTTGTCCATAGACACCTCTTATGTCATGTGGCCGGCTTGACTACATGGAGCTCTGTTTCCTTCCCAATGAAACGGAACCTATTGATCTACTCACATTTGCATGTTTTCGAACTGCTGGGTCAGCATAAGCTGGGGCTAACAATGAGTGCTCACCCCATCCTGTGGATTCGAGCCACCAATGACAGTGATGTGTAAATAATTCCCAATTGCCAGTCACTGACACAAAATACAATTTGTTGATAATTGTTATTGGTGAAATTATTTTTATAATAACATTTGTAGATTTAAAGTTTTTTACCATCTTGTATTAAATTGCTTTTGTGTGATACTGAATAGATTTTATTAGAATTACTCCTTTGTGACGATGTCACCATGGAGTTAGTAAGTGCTGGAAAGTGTCAGTTTAAACTTACACTTTAATTAGAAAAGCCTACAACAGGTTATTTCCTTGGCAGATCACATTGAAGGGGCTAAGCTAAAGCTGATATAAAATAAAAAATACAGCCACAGTGGACAGCTCACAAAATTGTTTTTATCTCATTTTTTTACACCGTGTTCTTGCTTGAAAATCTTCAAATGTGTAAGCTATTAGAGAAGTCCAAGCATTTGTAGTATGGGCAGCAACCAACTGAGCACATATTAAAGCCAATTGATTTATTCTTTTAATGATTTCCATTGGTTTTCTTGAATGTTACAAAAGCAGACTCATAATCAAGGCATGTGTTCAGAGAAGGAAAGGTCATTAACCACTTGTATATATTTGCGCTTGTAACTTTAAAAACATACAATTTCTTTCCGCCATGTTTCAACAACCTGTTTGTTCTTCTGGCATCCGTTTTGAAAACATTGAGGGAGGCTCCTTGTACACATCTTTATAAAATCCACATTATCTGCTTTGAACTGGATTATATGGCAGTGTAGACTAAGATAATCCAGTTCAAATCAGATTATGTGGGTTTTCTGCTTTGATAACCAGGCAGTGTAGAAAGGGATTGCAAGGAGAGAAGCCCCATGACATGAGTGGAAGTTTGCTTGAGTGATGATGAATTTAGGAAGAAAGTTAAGTCTATTTAGCTTAAGAGATGTCGATTTTTTCACATTTATACAATTATCTAAAACCTGAATACCATATTTCAACATTATTATACAAAGCAATACATAGTAATTTGGTTGACTCACGAAGTAAACTATCCAGTTTATAATAAACACACACAAAGTTGTATGATTGCATGTATTTGCATATATGTAAACACATGTTTTCAGAAAAGCGAGAGGAAAAATGAATGCACATAAATCATTGTACATGCTCTAGTTTTAGGATTAATGACAGGCAGTGTTTAACCAGCCTGTGTTTTGTATTCTGTGAAGGTATGATCAAGTAACTCCAGATGCCACTAAAAATATAATCCTCTTTTCATATTCAGGTTTATTTCTAGTGTATTGTTCAAGCAGTGCTAAAATGATTTAGAGGCACTTAGCTTTAAGCTGTTTGTGCTGGAAGCAGATAAAAATCAATTGTTAACTTCACTTCTTTTGTGATAGAAGTAAAATATTCCAATAACTTTGGGAACAGTCTGCGTTTGTTTTACAGTGAATGGGAGAAATGATCGGATACAAATACTGTGATTAGAGGGCCATGATGAAATCCATTGCTTAGATCAATGAACCAAAAAGAAAAGGGAATTTTTTGCCTGGGCCTTGAAATAGGACCATTCTGAATAACCCCATTACAGTTGTACAGTCAGTCTTCCATGTCCGGGTTGCTAAACAATATTGATAAATAGGATTTTAAATCTGGAGGCAATTACCTCAAAGGCAAGATACCTTACGGTAAGAGAATCAAGTTCCAACTTCATTCTTTGCTTTTGCTTTTGTGTGAGAGGAGATGAGATGCAAAGGATAGTTGAACCTTAGTGAAAATGTGGATAATTATAAACCCCCTTCAAATGAAGAACTTATGGCGCAATAATATCATAGAGTTGGGCTGGCGGACCTAGAAATTGGGGATATTTTGTCAGACATAGATAAATGAAACCTTGAGTGCTCATCTTGTGGATTCTGGAATCATCCTTTACATGCTTTCACTAAGGCAGGGATGGGAAACTGAGGCGGGTCTGGGACTGGTTTTAACAACAATAACAACAACAACAACTTATTGCCCATCTCCCCTTATGGCTCTAGGTAGGGTTCAATATAACTCATGCTCCCTCAGTGTTGGGGAGGGAGTAGAAGTGACTGGAAGTCCAGTTCTGGTTTGAAAAATAAGATTTTTGGGATCGTAACTCAGAATTTACCCCGGAGTATCTAGTTTCATGGGTCATTGCCAGGTGAGAGACAAGGATTCAAATTCTCCAAATTTGGTTCAGTCAATGCCAGACAAGAAGAAAGGACTGTTATCAAATCTCCATGCAAATATGGGTAGATGAAATAGGTACCGCTTCTGTAGGAAGGTAAGGGCGTTCCATGCAGTCATGCCAGCCACATGACCTTGGAGGCGTCTACAGAGAACTCTGGCTCTTCGGCTTAGAAATGCCACCCCCCAGAGTCGGACACGACTAGACTTAATGTCAAGGGGAAACCTTTACCTTTACTAATCCACCATCAAATCTAATGTGCACCTCAATTTTCAACACCTCCTAAACCTAAATAAATGTATTTGCTGTTGAATATGCAGTGATGAAAAGTGCACATTAAAAACAAAAGTGTTAGTGTGCAGGTACAACTGCACCAGGAGCTCCAATTTTGTTTGCTTTGCATTTAATGTTTGTTATAGTCCGAAGTTTCAGGGACTCTGCAGATAGGTGGCTCCTTTTGGCTGCAATCATAGGGCAAGCCACCTGTCAATTATAGTTAGGTGCCCTGGTCCTGCCCCCTTTTTGGGTTTTTGGAGGGAATAGGAGCCAGTTTGGGTTCAATCCACACAGAGAAGCCTTTCGTGCAGGACATAATACCAAGAGCTCCTGTAGAAAGCTTCGTCTTCTACAGCTTGGCCGGGGTTATACAGCCCTATAGCTTGGCTGGGGTTATACAGCCCTACAGCTTGGCCGGGGTTATACAGCCCACAGCTTGGCCGAGGATCATACAGCCTTACAGCTCCTTTGCTGAGGGACTTCAGTCAGCCATCACTGAAACCTGAACTCCTTTTTCCCTGGAAGTTTACAAAGCTCTGCTTGGTAAGGGTCACTTGCGGAAGCCAGAAGCAGTTGGTATCAGGTGTAGGGGCTCCACGCCATCAGAGGCAAAGACAGACTGCCCAGATTAGTTAAGGATTTCCCCATTAGTTACAGTTATGAAGATAGTGCCTGTTCCCTGTGGACAAGATTGAGAGAGAGAGAGTCAATAGACTGTTAAGAAAGCTTTAAAGTACCTGTTTGTTTTCATTAATAAAGAACTTTGTTGAACCTTTAAGCAATCTAGAGACTCTGTTTTAAGGAAATCCAAAGGCCTTTAATCTGAGGCAGCCCCGGCGTCCCATTGGGCACACAGAATTTATGTCCTGTCTACAGTCTTATGTACAGGCCCAGCGTGCAACAGCACAGTTAGAACAGCAAAGCTTCCAGCCAAAGGAAAACCTTGGGGTGCATCTATGCTGTAGAACAAATCCACTTTAATTGCCTTCATTCAATGCCATGGAATCCTGGGGGCTGTTGTTTTGCAAGGTCTTGAGCCTTCTCTGCCAAGCAATGCTGGTGCTTCATCAAACTACAAATCCCATCATTGCATAGCACTGAGACATGGTCATTAAATTAGAGATGACACCTCTCAAATAGCAGCTCCAGGTGCCCCTGAAGCAGCTTCTTTTTTTGCTTTGGCTCAGCACTAAGATTACCATATTATGCAAATCTAATGCACACCCTAATTTTGGTGAGGCAATATATCCAAAAAAGATTGGGATTAGATTTTATTAAATACAGTAGTTGGTTAGTTACTCTCCCCAGCGGTTGGTGAGTGCCAGAGATCACCCTCTATTCTACTCTGCAGGCTGGATTGTTTCAAGATCTCCCTCTCTCTGCTTTTCTCCCTCCAGCACCTCAATGAGAACCTGGCAAGGCTGACTGCCAAGTTTGAGATAGCTACAGCAGAGAAGGTAAAATGTCAGAAAGAAGCCAAAGCCACCGCAAATACCATCTCCCTTGCAAATCGCCTGGTAAGAATCTCCAGATGGAGCTTGGGGCAATGTAAAAAACCATTTTTGTGTGGAGTTATGAATGTTGTTCAGTGCTTTATGGAGGAATTTGTCTAATTCTGGAATATCTGTTTACAGATTCACAGCTTTACTGTCACATAAGTAAGTTTCAAATCACAGGGCAACCGTGTTTCTCTTATGCCAATCATATGTATAATCATTCATAGTGATATATGACTGTATTATCTGTTTTCCTGAATGATACATGGTTGTCAGCATAGCAACCATTCACTGGATCCAGCTGCCAGGGAAAGAAACCATTAATTTGTGATTTTAATGAACATACGGTATTTTAATGAGCACTGTTGTCCTTTAGCTTTGCAATGCATGCCTATTCAGGTATGTAGCTCCGTAGTAGTGCATTGCGGGGAAGAGCTGCTCTGCTTGTTTAACAGGAAGAGAAGAAAGTTAGAGGTTTCAACTACTGGGTGGGCTGATGTCACAATTTTCTGGTGTCTTTCCTACAGAATCAGGGCTGTAGTCTTAAATCCACAAATTCTGCAGCACTGCCAAACATCAGTATGACTAACCTTGAAAATCACAGCTTGGAGTAATTAGTTTATAGAAACAACTGTCTCTTTCTGGATCCAAATGCAACTTCTTTTTAAGAGAACCAAACTTGAGTTTTTGCAAAATGTGAAGATGTTGGTAGTTTTTGGAATTCCCCATCCTACCTTATGTAGATTGAGGGCAGGTTTTGAGGCCAAAATTTTGATTTTGATGTGACTTGTGAATAAGTTGAGCCTCATTCTATGGAGAGGGAAAAGCACCGACGCCACTTGCCTAGCCCTACTTAGCACTGCTTGTCCCCCACCCGGGCCTACAGAAAGGCCAGGAGAATCTTCCTTTAGGTTCTCCTTGGATGGATTCTTGCCTTTGGCCACTCAACTCAGAGAATGGGATAGTTCCTTTTTAAAATGAGAAGTAAAGTGGAATGCTCATATTGACCCATTGATAAGTCAATCAAGATTTTTTTGGTTGATTTTGTTGGATGCACATTTCTTTACTTATACATGAATATATAGGATATCTGTGCTTGAAGGGCATCCAGCAAATGCTTTCTTTTATTATTTTCACAAAGGGTGGAGGGAAATGGAGTCTTATTTGTTAATATACTGGAATTTATCTGTAACTGTAGCGTCTGTTTCTCTCCAGTACCCACGCACATGATGTCAGTGGTTAATTTAAACTGCAGTCCTGTATCCAAAGTGCAGCTTAATTAAAAAGTTGAACCAAAAACGCCACATACTTGAACATTGTATTCTAGAACAATTAATGAAAGCAGCACATTGGAGGAGATGCCGTTTCCACTGTACCCTCAAGACAGACCTTGGGTCGTTCTACATTTTCACCAGCAAGTGGAGCTAGTCATTTCCACAACCCTGTTTGGTTTTATTTGCAGAGGACTGAGAATTTTGCTTTGAGGCTATTCCTGAAGAAGTCACTCATACAGGAAGCAATTAAAAAGTGAAAGAAGGAAAACAGAAATAACAACTAATTAGCATGGAAGGTGATCTCTTAATTAAGATGAAAGTTGGAAAAAAATGAAAGATTTTGTTTTGTGGCACAGATGTAGGACTTGAAGAAATCTTAAACTTCTATTTTTTTTATCTTGACTTCTTGTCCTGCTTGGCATCTGTGTATGGTTTTGGCATTTTTGCACTAATTTGGTCAAAATGAGGGCTTTTGCATCCAAGCACAGCACAAAATCAGATAGTCTTTTGTAAAACGAGAGTAAAAATCCCTGTTTAACATTACTTTTGGCAGAAGTAAAATATTGGAGGGAGCCAAAACCTTTAATTCTTGTTTCTGAAAATATGAAAAATTGGTTTTAAAAAAATCTTGCTGCAAGATACCATAGATGGTTTTTGCAATCCAGGAAACTTCATGCAATTTGACTAATCCAGATTATATTTAATAAATAATTGACCTTACCTTCTCAACTATTCTCAATTCAGGCCATATATCTAAATATTTTAGTGGTAGCCATTCAACTCTGCAGTTTTATGATTGAATGGGTTTCAGTTGTCCCTCTGCTCAGTTTTGGAGCATGTGTTTTCTTTGAAAGGGCCTAGTCATGAAAAAGGAAAAGGGAACATAGAAGATTACTTTGTTTTTTCTGTGAACAAGGAATAATGTGAGAGTAGTTTGGCACATTACTTTTCAAGATCACAACTCCCAGAATCCTTCTACCAATATTGCTATTAGACATGCTGGCTACGGACTACTGGGAGAAGCAAGTTTTCTGGAAAGTTTGGCAGTAACTTTTCTAAGTTATGCAATGTCACTTGTATCAGATTGTCGCACACCAGGGCTGGGAAGGCACCTCTGAACCAATCTCACACTGCAGTATTCAGTATAAGCAAAGCAGTTTATTAAAGAATAAAATTAGCTTCAGCAAAAGGATAAAAATGATCTAAAGCAGTATATGATATTGTCCATAATAAGAGTCACTTAAACTTGGAAAAACAAACACCAAGTTCAGGAAACAGAAACTCATAAAACCATAACCAAGATCCAAAAGTTACAAGAGTCTGTGATATCAAAATAATCCAGGAACAGAGAACCAAGACACATGAAGATACAGGAACAAAAACTTGAAGCATGAAATCCAAGGCATGAGAAGTTACAGAAATACAATCATGAATATGTAATCCAAGGCATGAGAAAGGAATTGCTGCCTTAACCAAACGTTAATTCCTCTGAGGAATCAATCTCAGTTGCCCTCATATATACTCAAAACTCATATATACTCAAAACTCCAGACCTTTTCCCTTGAAAAGAGTTGGGAGGATTCTTCTTGTCTATTAATCTTTGGTAGTGGCACCTCTCCCCAGCCAGATGTCTCTGTTGACAAATCTGACCCATTCTATTGAAGGAGGCATTCTTCTCCTTCTCTAGATCCCCATTTAAAACATTCTTTTCACATTCCGACCTTAACTCCCTTGGGAAAACTAACACAAGCCTGTCAGACTCTTTCTCTGTCTGTACTGGAACATCTAATGCAAGCCTGACCATCCCTGAATCCTCAGCTTCATCCTGGCCAACAGCATTCTCCTGTCCAAAATTCCTATTTCTGGACCCCTGTGGGTCTGCAGGATCTTGGTCAGTATTCTCTGAAATCTCAGGCTGAACCACTATACAGATGGTCTGGTTAAGGGCATACACTCCCTTAAGTGTTGTATAAGTTCTTTTCTGGACAACAAATAAGTTTGAAGATTTTTTTCTTTCTTGGGTCATCAAATGTATGAGAACTGTTTCAATCCTTATTGCTTTGTGCAAAACACACTACCTGCCAATGGAGTAGTAATTTAAGACCTCTTAGAATGCTAATGCAATAGGCTGATAGCACATTCCATTGCCAGGCACATGAGTCACAACAATTCTAGCTTGAATAGTTGGCATGTTGTTTTGTATTCATTGTCTTTATAGGGCTGATCTTGCATTCTGTTCTGTTTTCTCCAAAGAGAGTTGTTTTTTTTTTTTGCTTCGGGATTGCTCTTTTGTCCAGTTTTAGTTCTGAAGCTTTAATTCAGCGACAGGGAGCTGCGGGCCTCCCATCAGACCTATCCAGCTTTGCTAATGCTGAGGAATGTTAGAAGTTACAGGCCTACATCAGGAGATCCCTCACTATTGGGGAACATTTATCATTCATGGCAAAACCTGCTGCTTAGTAAAAGAAAAAGTGGGATGTGAGGATTTTAAAAAATGCGGACAAAAAGATTATTTAAAACAAATAACAATAAAATAACACAACCCAAATTGTGGAAGTTAGATTCTACTTTAAATGCATTATCCTGGACATTGACAGGACATACATACGATGGCATTTGTTCATCTCAGTAAGAAATAGGTACTACCGTGCATGGAGGTAATATTTCTGAGGAAGGCACTTGTGTGATTAAAATGCTGATGGGCTAAATTTTCAGATGCATTTTGTCATGGAATGGAATTTTTATTATTTAACAATGTTCATTAATTCAGTACAAGTGATAGTATGTGTGTATATGTGTGTGTAGTTAGAAGCATAAGCAAAATTAATTGGAAAGATTTACAGTTACTGGAGTGTGTCGGTGTATTGCATAGTTACAGCAGTTTGAGGCCACTTCAACTGGCATTGAGCTGCAGTGACGCAATGGGTTAAACCCTTGTGCGACTGGACTGCTGACTTGAAGGTTGGGTTGCTGACCTGAAGGTTGCTGGTTCGAATCCGTGAGACAGGGTGAGCTCACGTCTGTCAGCTCTAGCTTGCGGGGACATGAGAGAAGCCTCCCAGCAGGATGGTAACACATCCAAGTGTCCCTGCGCAACGTCTCTGTAGATGGCAAATTCTCTCACACCAGAAGTGACTTGCAGTATGTTCTCATGTACCTTCTAACATGATAAAAAAAAAATCTGGCAAGACTCCATCTCATGAGATTCTGGAAATTGTAGTTTGGTGGAGATACTCCAGAACTTGATGTTCAAGGGCTCTGATACAATTCCTTGAACAACAGAAAATTTTAAATATCATTCCATGCTACAAGTTGCAGGATTCCATATCATGAAGCCAAAGCATATAAAGTGATATCAGGCAGGGTCAAACTTTTCATTATGGATACACCCTCTATTACCTCCCTCCCCAGAAATAGAAGTTGTCAGTTTGTTCAGTATCATGGTGGCCATGCAGACAAATAAAACCATTAAAAACCAGGACAAATAAAACAGATTATTCCCTATAACAGAAACTATTCTCCTCCTAGAGAGAGGCTTATTTGAGTCTTTAATCGGAAAGAGGCACTTATAAGGCCAATGCCCTTTGCTGATGGATGTTGCATAGAGAAAAGTGACAGCTGTGCAGCAACAGCTCTCTTTTGCAATATAAATATAAGCAGTTTGTTTCCTATTCCTCTGTTTCTCCTTATGGTCTGTCCGTTTTTAAATAAATCCTCCATCTGGACCACAAACTGAGAAATACAGGGAAGAAAAGGTTTCAAAGCAATATCTCCCTTTCTAACCTCTGTGGACGAAATGAAGTGCATGTAATCCCTTTAGGTATGGGGATTGTACTGAATGTATGTGGTTGTATTGCTATTGTGAGAAAACATAACGTGTAGATAGAACAGTTACGAAAAAGGATTTGTATATTATCCTGGCAGATATTAATTTACTCCTTTTCACTACAGGTTGGGGGTTTAGCCTCTGAGAACGTGAGATGGGCAGAATCCGTGAAAGATTTCAAGCTCCAGGAGAGTGCGCTTTGTGGAGATGTTTTGCTGATAACGGCCTTTGTCTCCTACCTGGGCTACTTCAGCAAGAAATTCAGGCAGGACCTGATGGACAATGTGTGGAAACCATACCTGAACCAGCTAAAAGTGAGCACAAGATAACTTACATTTCATATGCATCTCTCTTTTACAATATAAACATCTAGTTTGCTGTGAATTTGAAGCTGCAAGCAATATGTAGTTTTGCTGGAAAAGGTCTATAATTAACTTTCAGAACGCCTCAGCAATTACTGATCACGATGGTGTCTGGGAAACATGTATTCAGTTCCCTAAGCTTGCTTTGAATTAATACTTAAGGAGTTCTTTCTGTTTTCTTTGTGGCGTTTTGTGTTGGAGTGTTTGGTTCTTCCTTGTCTTCCAAGCTTTGTTTTATTTTGCTTCTCTCCATCACTGTTGAATGGCTTAAATGCCAAGAAACCAATATTACAAAATATGATATATCTATTTATAATTTACTTTTATCGCTTCAGTGGGAATTCATGCTGATTGAAAAGATATGATGTGCTTTTAGTGATTCTAGCCCCAAGCATCCTGGCTGAGCTCGGATGCCTTTCGGGTGGCCTAGTGTGTCGGACACGTCTTTGTAAAACTGTGAACATTGCCTTTAAGCACAGCAGCAGACTTGTGGACGTGTTAATTGCATTCTGCAAAAGTACAAGGTGTAATCTGATCCCGTTCCATCAGCTGTCAGCTTAGCCTGCTCCAGGCCTTATGGTTTGAAATTTTTGTGTCATTGGTTGGTTTTGTGTACAAAAGGCTATAATGAAATGTTGAGAGAGTAGAAGGGACATTGTCTGCACCCAGCCAACGTTCTCCTTCTTTTTCACTTGTGGACCCATGCAGAGGTTGTGTAGTTGAATTGCTGCTTTCTATACTCTTTTGGACTAATACTTAAACATGCAAGTGCAGTGCTTCTTTTGGCCCACTAGCTCCAATTCCAGAAGGGCAAAGAAAGAAGAAATTATTTTTAAAAATCATATGGTTTGGAAACCCATTCCCCTTTAAAATAGATGGGTAGCTTGCACACAAAGACCTTCCATACAGCTTTCATAGTGATTGAAGAAATCATCATATTTCCCTCACTGCTCACCTGTTTTGTGGTCTGTAGGGAAGGAAGCACTTTGAAAGTCATACCTATGTACCTTCCTCCCTGTATATATTGCGAGCCTCCACCTTCCCCTATTCATGGCGAGAAGCTGCTCCCAAGTCGGCGGAGGGCCTTTGCACAATTAAGACTCGTGCGCCAACTGCGACCGTACCTCGTGAAGGTACAGGGTGGTCCATGCCTTAGTCACCTCCAGATTGGACTACTGTAATGCACTCTACGTGGGGCTACCCTTGAAAATGGCCTGGAAATTTCAATTGGTTCAACGAGCGGCAGCTAGGTTGTTAATTGGTGCTCCTTACAGGGAGCGGTCAACCCTCCTGTTTAAGGAGCTCCATTGGCTGCCATTCATTTACCGGTTCCAATTCAAGGTGCAGGTGCTTACCTACAAAGCCCTAAATGGTTTGGGACCCGCCTACCTGCGTGACCGCATCTCTGTGTACAAACCCACACAATCTCTTTGTTCGTCTGGAGAGGCCCTGCTCGCGCTCCCGCCTCCATCGCAAGCGCGATTGGTGGGGACGAGGGACAGGGCCTTCTCGTTGGTGGCCCCTCAACTCTGGAACTCACATCAGGCATGCCCCAACTCTGGCAGTCTTTAGGAGGAGCCTGAAAATGTGGTTGTTCCAGTGTGCCTTCCCAGAATAAGGAAACTCCGAGCAATATGTCCCAAAACGCACTTAATTAGTGATCTAGGATTGTCTGCACGCTCCATCCCTCTTCAAAATTTCTATCCTAGTTATATGTCACCTGGTCACACCCAGCATCATTTTTTAAATTTTAATTATTACATTTGGCCCAGCCATAGGTTTTTAAACATCGCTGTGTTATTGTTAATGTTTATTGCTTATTTTCTGTTTATGAGTTTTATTTATTGTTTGTATTACTATGGCTATTGTTTTTATTGTTGTATTGTGGGCTCGGCCTCATGTAAGCCGCATTGAGTCCCTTGGGGAGATGGTAGCGGGGTACAAATAAAGTTTTATATTATTATTATTATATTATTAATAAGCTGTTCAGTTGGAGGAGAGAAGGAAAGGTGTGATGATATCTCAACTTCATTGGTGACTCAAGGCTCCGTTGCTGTGGGATGGGGAAGCCACCACTTGGTTTTTACAGGAGGATTTCCACAGTTCCTCAGGGTTGTATGGGAATTGATCAGATAATGAAAGTATGCTGATAACAGGGTTCAACACCTGGATTGTTCACCTGTAATCTGTATCTGCTGTTGAGGCACAGTCATTAACATTGAGGACAGCTGTTAGATTCCTGATTTATTTATTTTATTTACTTCATGTATATGCCACTTTTTTCACTCCTCAACATATTCACGACAAAATTCAATGCCGTTCAAAACATGAAAACCTAGAATAAAGCAACAATAACATAAAACTATCAATTAAATCATAAAACATAGCTACATTTAAATATTAAAACATGGAATTAAAAGCATATTAATATAAACATTAAAATCACATGATTCAAAAGCATAGTCCAAGCCATTCCAATATCAAATAACAATTGCACATAATCCCTGTTCGTTCTTTGTACTGCTTACTGCCCAAATGGTTGGTTCCACAGCCATGTTTTTGCTTTTTTTCTGAAGACCAAGAAGGAGAGTGCTAATATAATTTCATTGGGGAGGGAGTTCCATAGATGAGGGGCTACCACTGAGAAGGCCTTGTCTCACATCTCCACCAGTCGTGCCTGTGAAGGAGGAAGGACTGAGAGCAGGGCCTCCCAGGACGATCTTAGCCTCCTTCAATAACTGAGTCACTTTTGCTCAGTGCCCCAACGTGGAAGCTTACATATCCCAGTTTCAGCACAATGAGATACAGTGTGTCCATGTGCCCTTTTTCTCATTGACTCTGAAAAGCACCTGAGCTCAGCCACAGTGCTTGGGGCTAGAATCACTAAAAGCATGCCATATCTGACTGACACAGCTGACCACAGTGGACAGCTCTCACCTTTACCCCTAAAAAACATAATCATCCAGAACACTCCCTATCTCTCGCCATCCTTCTTTCAAGGCAGAACCCATTGTCTGAAAAAGTATTTAGTCTTTGTTCTAATATCCTATCATTTATGCTTCTTTCCTTCCCATCTTTCTTCTAAGTGCAACACCCAAGATGTAGATTAAAACAGAATATATGTGAAGTCAGCCTAAATTAAATAACCCATAAAAGTAATCATTTATTGCTAGGTATTTTCCCTTATGTGAGAACCCCTTATAACATACTTCTCCAGCCTGGTGGTGTTTAGATGTTCAATGACCCTGGTGGTTGGGAATGATAGGACTGTAGTTTGATGTGTCTGTAAGGCACCACATGGAGAAGGCTGCATTGTTGTTCTCTCTTTGGATTTGCATCGAGTGAGCCAAGTCAATTGTGTACAGCATTTTGATAAGGTTGTAACGTTCATGTTTTCTTTTCCTTCCTGAAATTGGATTATAAAGTAGATTTTTGTAGCTAGAATAAATGCTTTTCTGCACAGATGTATGCCATGAAGAATGTCACTATACCATGAAAGATTGAGGAGTCAGTGCATATAAAAGCAATTAACAATTTTCATTATTTTCAGTGTTGGATAGTTTTTACAAAGTCATTCTTGAATTTGAGGGCTTTTAAAAAAACTTTTCAAACTTTGATATCAGTATATAAAATTGAATATCTGTCTAAAAATGTACTATGATCCTGCGATATATTCCAATTAATGAAAATGACAAGCTGACTGGGGAACACAGGGAATTGTCATCCAAAAATAGTAAATTTTCAGAGCTCTATTACATTCCAGCAATACGGTGACAAAAATGAATCTGGTTTTAAAGGTTCAGTACCAAAGCCCTAGTGGGATGGGAATGATGAATGCCTTAGAACTGTAAAGTTGTAAGCAGGAGCTAAGTGGCACTTCTGATTGCTCTGAATGGTGTGCTCAAGTCTAAGCATTTCAGTTTAAGAGGGAGGGCCAGCTCCCCCTTTATAGCTCCATCCTGCCCCAGCTCTCACAGAACAGAGCTTTCTGCAGTCTGTCTGTATACCTCTTGTGGTTATTTAATTGGAAGATCTTGGGCTGTATTTTCCCCTCTTCTGGAAAGATGTCTTTCTTTCAGAATAACATTCCTTGCCAGAGTCTTTGCATCCTAATGGAGACAGTTACCCCCAGTGAGTTATAATGGATTGCAAATGCAGTTCCAAACTCTCCTCAGATGAGGAGTCAGGGGTGGACTGTGTGACAAGAGAGTTGCCTTCAGCAATGACCCCAAGACCGGACTAACCTACCCTTAAGGTAGGATCAGATGTTATTTGAGCTGTACAGATGGCAGAAACGTGTCCATATTGTGAGCACACAAGAGGCCTGAAGAATGCAATTTTGGCTGCAAGACATCCCTGCTTCCCTCTTGCCTCTATTTATTGAGGGACAGTCCTTTCCTCTGGGATTGTGTTGCTGGATTTCCTTAATAACATATCATGCTGTGGGCACCCAGGGGTTGGAGGGCAGGATGTCTCCAGAGTCCACCCAAGATGGCAGATGGCCTGAAATATGCCATAAAATAAGATACAAAAATATCACAGGCCTGGTGGAAAGATTTCATGTGGGCCCAAGGCATCTAGTGGCCAAACATGTGTAAATCAGCCAGAAAACACTGATCTTCAGAATCTCTTCTCAGAATGGCAGGGGGAAGGTGAGGCAGGGGCTCATGCTGTGGTTTCTCTCCTTCAGAAAGTTAAAGGAAAGACAAAGCATGGCTCTCCTGTTTCTTCTGTGGTAGACACTGAGACTTCTGTCTCAGATGGAGAGATCTTGGATGGAGTGGGTGGAGAGTTACATGTTTAGAAAAAGACTCCTTAGATGAAGAAGATTCCTTTCCTGAACATGTTTTTGTGAATTTATCTGGGGCAGAGCATTTTCCTGTCCTTCTTAAGAAGGTAAAAAAAGAAGTCAAGGCTGACTTCTCCAATCAAGTGTCTGTTGGAACAGCTGA